TTTTTTGGTGTAATTTTTGTGTAATTTTTGAGAATTTTTTGGGAATTTTTTGGGAATTTTTTGGGGATTTTTGGGGAATTTTTTAGGATATTTTTAGGATATTTTTAGGATATTTTGGGGATATTTTGGGGAATTTTGGGGGGATTTTTTGGGAATTTTTGGGGGGATTTTGGGGAATTTTTTGCGAATTTTTTGGGGATTTTTGGGGGAATTTTTTGGGGAATTTTTTGGGGAATTTTTTAGGATATTTTTAGGATATTTTTAGGATATTTTCAGGATATTTTTGGGATAATTTTGGGATGTTTTTGGGGTCACTCACCCACGCTGGCCCCGTGCAGGGCTCTCTATGGGATATTTTTAGGATATTTTTAGGATATTTTTGGGATATTTTGCCCAATTTTTAGTAAATTTTTTGGGAATTTTTGGGGGAATTTTTTGGGATTTTTTGGGGAATTTTTTGGGTAATTTTTGGGAATTTTTTGCGATTTTTTGCGAATTTTTTTTTATTTTTTGTGTAATTTTTGTGTAATTTTGGGGAATTTTTGGGGAATTTTTTTTTATTTTTTGGGGAATTTTTAAGGATATTTTTAGGATATTTTCAGGATATTTTGGGGATATTTTGGGGAATTTTGGGGGGATTTTTCGGGAATTTTTTGGGAATTTTTTGCGATTTTTTTGGGATTTTTTGGTGTAATTTTTGTGTAATTTTGGGGAATTTTTTGGGAATTTTGGGGGAATTTTTTAGGATATTTTTAGGATATTTTTGGGATATTTTCAGGATATTTTTGGGATATTTTGCGGAATTTTTTGGAAATTTTTGGGGAATTTTTTGGGAATTTTTTGGGAATTTTTTTTATTTTTTGTGTAATTTTTGTGTAATTTTTGTGTAATTTTTGGGAATTTTTTGGGGAATTTTTGGGGATTTTTTTTTTATTTTTTAGGATATTTTTAGGATATTTTTAGGATATTTTCAGGATATTTTTGGGATATTTTTAGGATGTTTTTGGGGTCACTCACCCACGCTGGCCCCGTGCAGGGCTCTCTATGGGATATTTTTAGGATATTTTGGGGAGATTTTTCGGGAATTTTTTGGAAATTTTTTGCGAATTTTTTGGGAATTTTTGGGGGAATTTTGGGGGATTTTTTGGGAATTTTTTGGGATTTTTTGCGAATTTTTTGCGAATTTTTTTGAATTTTTGGTGTAATTTTGGGGTAATTTTGGGGAATTTTGGGGGAATTTTGGGGGGAATTTTTGGGGGATTCTTTTGGGAATTTTTTTGGGTGTTTTAGGATATTTTTGGGATAATTTTGGGATGTTTTTGGGGGTCACTCACCCACGCTGGCCCCGTGCAGGGCTCTCCTGCGGGCGCTGGCCCCGTATTGGTAAAATTGGGATCCGGCTTTGCTGGGGGACAAAGCCCCGGCCGTGCTCAGCTCCAGATCCCCGGGCAGGAGGCTCTGCTGTGGGGACAGCAAAGATGGAAAAAATTTGAAAATTCTGGAAATTTGAAAATCCTAAAAATTCGAAAATCCGAAAACATAAATCCTCAAAATCCTAAAATCCTAAAATTCTGAAATGGTAAAATGCTGAAAATCCTAAAATCCTGAAATCATAAAATTCTGAAATTCTGGATATTCTAAAATCCTAAAACTCCTGGAATCCTAAAATCCTGAAAATCCTGAAATCCTGAAAATCCGAAATTCTGGAAATTCTAAAATCCCACAAAAATCCGTTTAAAATTCCATTAAAATCCCACTAAAATCCCATTAACATCCCATTAAAACCCCACAAAAATCCCACAAGAATCTCATTAAAATCTCATTAAAATCTCATTAACATCCCATTAACATCTCATTATCATCTCACCAAAATCCCATTAAAATCCTACTAAAATTCCGTTAAAGTCTCATTAAAATCCCATTCAAAGCTGATTAAAAATCCAATAAAATCCCACAAGAATCTCATTAAAATCTCATTCAAATCCCATCAAAAATCCCACAAAAATCTCAGTAACATCGCATTAACATCTCATTATAATCTCATTAACATCTCATTAAAATATCGTTAAAATCCCACTAAAATTCCAACAAAAATCCCATTAGCATCTCATTAACATCCCACTAAAATCTCCTTAACATCTCATTAACATCTCATTACACTTCCAATAAAATCCCACTAAAATCTCATTAAAATCTCATTAGCATATCATTATAATCTCATTATACTGTCATTAACATTCATTTGTTAAAATCCCGTTAAAATCCCACAAGAATCTCATTAACATCTCATTAAAATCCCCCTAACATCTCATTAACAGCCCAATAACATCTCATTAACATATCATTATAATCTCATTAACATTCCATTGAAAAATCCCACTAAAATAAAATCCTACAAATCCTAAAATCTCAATAAAATCCTACAAATATCTAATTAATTATCTAAAACCTAATTAAAAATCCAATAACAATCCACTAAAATCTCATTAAAATATCAATAAAATCCCAGCAAATTCCAACTAAAATCTCATTAAAAGTCCAATTAAATCCTACTAAAAGCCTATTAACATCTCATTAACATCTCATTAACATATCATTTAAAAATCCCAATACAAATCCCAATAAAATCCCGCCATCTCATTAACATATCATTAACATCTCATTAACATATCATTTAAAATCCCATTTTAAGCTCATCGACATCCTATTAACATCTCATTAGCATATANGGATGTTTTTGGGGGTCACTCACCCACGCTGGCCCCGTGCAGGGCTCTCCTGCGGGCGCTGGCCCCGTATTGGTAAAATTGGGATCCGGCTTTGCTGGGGGACAAAGCCCCGGCCGTGCTCAGCTCCAGATCCCCGGGCAGGAGGCTCTGCTGTGGGGACAGCAAAGATGGAAAAAATTTGAAAATTCTGGAAATTTGAAAATCCTAAAAATTCGAAAATCCGAAAACATAAATCCTCAAAATCCTAAAATCCTAAAATTCTGAAATGGTAAAATGCTGAAAATCCTAAAATCCTGAAATCCTAAAATTCTGAAAATCCGAAATTCTGGAGATTCTAAAATCCTAAAAATCCTAAAATCCTAAAATCATAAAATTCTGAAATCCTAAAATCCTAAAATCCTGAAAATCCGAAATTCTGGAAATTCTAAAATCCTAAAAATCCTAAAATCCTAAAATCATAAAATTCTGAAACCGTAAAATCCTGAAAATCCTAAAATCCTAAAATCCTGGAATAATAAAATTCTGCAATCCTAAAATCCTGAAAATCCTAAATCCTTAAAAAATCCTAAAATCCCACAAAAATCCGTTTAAAATTCCATTAAGATCCCACAAAAATCCCATTAACATCCCATTAAAAACTCATTAAAATGCCATTAAAATCCCATTTACATCCCATTTACATCCCATTAAAAACTCATTGAAATCCCATTCAAATCCCATTTACAACCCATTAAAATATCATTAAAATCCCCTAAAATCCTTTGAAAGTCTCATTAAAATCCCATTAAAATCTCATTAAAAGCTGATTAAAAATCCAATAAAATCCCACAAGAATCTCATTCAAATTTCATTAACATCTCATTAACATCTCATTCAAATCCCATCAAAAAATCCCACAAAAGTCTCATTAACATCTCATTAACATCTCATTTAAATATCGTTAAAATCCCACTAACATTCCAACAAAAATCCCATTAGCACCTCATTAAAATCCCTCTAAAAATCTCATTAAAATCTCATTAAAATCCCATTAAAATCCCACTGAAATCTCTTTAAAATCTCATTAAAAATCCCAATAAAATATTATCGAAATCTCATTAACATCTCATTATCATCTCATTATGATCTCATTAACATCTCATTAACAGCCCACTGAAATCCCATTAAAATTCCATTACAATCCTACTAAAATCCTATTAACATCTCATTATAATCTCATTAACATTCCATTAGAACATCCCATTAATATCCCACAAAAATCCCAATAAAATTCTACAAAAAGCCCACGAAAACCACATTAACATCTCATTAACATCTCATTAACATCTCATTAACAGTCCATTTAAAAATCCCATTAAAATCATACAAAAAGCCCACTGAAATCTCATTAACATATCATTAACGTATCATTAAAAACCCCCAAAAATCTCATTAACATCTCATTAGCATCTCATTAAACACCTAGAATCTCATTATCATCTCATTATCATCTCATTAACAGCCCATTAACATCTCATTATAATCTCATTAACATCTCACTAAAATCTCATTAAGATCCCAATAACAGCCCATTAACATCTCATTTTAATCTCATTATAATCTCATTAACACTCCATTAGAACATCCCATTAATATCCCACAAAAATCCCAATAAAATTCTACAAAAAGCCCACGAAAATCTCATTAACATCTCATTAACATCTCATTATAATGTCATTAACATTCCATTTTAAAAAACCCGTTAAAATCCCACAAGAATCTCATTAACATCTCATTAACGTATCATTAAAAACCCCCAAAAATCTCATTAACATGTCATTACCATCTCATTAAAAACCCTAAAATCTCATTATCATCTCATTAAACCCCCTAGAATCTCATTATCATCTCATTAACATCCCATTAAAATCCCATTAACATATCATTATAAAATCCCATTAAAAGTCCAATTAAATCCTACTAAAAGCCTATTAACATCTCATTAACATTCAATTTAAAAAATCCCATTAAAATCCCACAAGAATCTCATTAACACCCCCTTAACATCTCATTAGCATCTCATTAACATCTCATTAGCATCTCATTAACATACCGTTATAATCTCGTTAACATATCATTAACATTCTATTTAAAAATCGTTAAAATCACACTGGAATCTCATTAAAAATCTAATCAAATCCTATTAACATCCCATTATAATCTCATTAACATCCCACTAAAATCCCATTAACATCTCATTAACATCCCACTAAAATCTCCTCAAAATTCCTTTAAAATCCCTCTAAAAATCCTATTAACATCCCCTTAACATCTCATTAGCATATCATTAACATTCCATCAAAAATCATTAAATCCCAGTAAATTCTAACCAGAATCCCATGAAAATCCCAATAAAATCCCACTAAAATCCTATTAACATCTCATTAACATTCCATTTTAAAAATTCCATTTTAATCTCATTAACATCCCACTAAAATATTTTTTTAAATCCCATTAAATTCCCACTAAAATCCTAATAGCATCTCATTAACATCCAATTAACATCTCATTAGCATCTCATTAACAGCCCATTTAAGAAATCCCAGTGAAATCCCATTAAAATACCATTAATATCTCATTATAATCTCATTAACATCCAATTAACATCCCATTAACAAAACCCATTAAAATACCACTAAAATCTCATTAACATATCATTAGCATCTCATTAAAATCTAATTAACACCTCGTTAACATCTCATTAACATACCATTAACATTCCATTTAAAAATCATTAAGATCCCAATAAAATCCAACTAAAATCTCATTAAAATTCCATTAACATCTCATTATAATCTCATTAACATTCTAAAAAAAATCCCAGTAAAATCCCACTAAAATTTCATCAAAATCCCGCAAAAATCTCATTAACATCCAATTAACATCTCATTAGCAACACATTAGAATCTCGTTAACATCTCATTACCATCTCATTAACATCTCATTAACGTCCCATTAACATCTCATTAACGTTACATTTAAAATTCTCATTAAAATATCATTAAAATCCCAATAAAACCTCATTAAAATTCCGCTATTATCCTAATCAAATCCTATTAACATCCCATTATAATCTCATTAACATCTCATTAAAATCTCATTAACATCTCATTAACATCCCACTAAAATCTCCTTAAAATTCCTTTAAAATCCCTCTAAAATCTCATTAACATCTCATTAACATCCCA